TCCCATGTTAAATCCCATAGAGCGGGGGAGGGGGAGGGGGTAGCCGAACGATCCTATAAACCACATTATTCATATCTGAATTGTGGTTAAAAATTTCTTTAACTTAAATTATCAGCATTAAATGTAATTTTCAACATATAATCAGTTATATTAAAATACAATATTATTTTTCATCTCTATAGGTTAACATGCAAAAATTGGCCTAATTTGTTAAGCTGCTATGTGAAAACGTGCAATTGAATTTTAATAATTCTTTCTTTATAAAATACATTTCTTATCTCTGTTTGAATCATACATTGAAACCATCTTTATATTTCTAGCTGTTAAACTGATAATATGACAATTCCGAATTGCCCCATATTTTGTATACCAGGTAACCAAAATAAATTGACCAGCTATGAAAAATAGTGTCGATATACTTATCTATTGAATGCTGTTTATCATTCAATCGTCAATCAAATTATCTTTTTTAGTTTAAGATATATTTCGAAAACAGCATACAGGGAATTAATTGACCGCCGTATAATAAATAAAATTACTAAAACACGTATCGCACTTTGAAAATTATGTTTTTATTGTTATAAATACTTTAATACATTACTGTATACAGCCCGAATATTATATCGCAATATAAAGCTAAAGGCAGGAGGATTAGTAGTGTTAATTTGCAGCATAAAGCAATGCAATTTTTGTCGCACCTAATTCACAAAAAGGGTTGCATTTGCCATCAATGTGCGAAGAAATGCACTCCTCTATGTTGTGATAATTAACACTACTAATCCTCCTGCTTTTAGTTTTATATTGCGATATAATACTCTGAGTGTATTAATACAAAGTGCAAATTATGATTTACCAAACATATCGTTTCTATCACAATCAATTTGTTTTTTATCTGTAATTCCAAGTTCATTAAGATTATCATCATCGTACAGTTTTCTTCCGTTAAATTTCATATCGTGCCCGATGAAATCCTCATTTGCACCTTTCCAATGTTTTTTAATCTTTTGTTTAACTTGTGCTATAGAATCGCTCTGCAAAACATCCAATGCTTTCATATCTGCTTCGCAAAAATAGTAAATACGTAGTTGTTTACTAAAATGAAACAATCCAGCGGTTAGTGTGATGTGTACAGACAATTGCAATTACATTATGTCTACGGAAAAAACGACAATATTTTGGTTGTTTTGAGATTAATTTTAAAATAGGAGGTCAAGCATATTGACCATACCATAACATAAACTCCCGCAGTTGACAATTAATTTGCTATATTATTTAAATTTCTAGACCGAATACTTTTCGAAATATTCAAGTTAACTTTTTCGGAGTCCAATAATGTACACACTGTATATTACACGTTGCTATTTGTTTATCAATTTTCCTTATGTTGAATCTTCATACCTTAATGTTTTAACTTTTATTATAGTGTTTATCAAATATGCTATTTTTTAATAGTTGATAATCAAATTCATGGACAAACTATCGAGTCGAATAAGCCTATGTGACACTCTTATAATTATCGTCTTTTACTCTGGTCATAATGTGACGTTATCAATGTCTCACCTTGATTATTTTAAAATATTAATCATTATAAACGTAAAATGTTTATCACTAGAGTATAAATAATATTACAAAAATTTCTCTAACATACGATTACCTTTATGTACTTTATACTCAATTAGAATTTCTCTTATACTTTTAAAATTACTAAGAAAATGCCATGGCCGAGATTAATTGACTTTACTATTATTTATTGTTGTTATTAAAAATATTGACCAAATGGTGGCGTTAATTACAAGTATCATTCGTTATTTTAATTATAAATCATCAATAAGGAAGCCGCTTTCACTGTAAATTACTGTATTAGTTGTGATGTTGTATACAACAATATAAGTAATTAATTATAACTTTTTCGTGAGTAATCAATAATAAATTGAGAGTTATATACAGTATATTATCTTATTAATGATATTAAATTTAATTAGAATATCTAGAGAATAAAGATTTCCAGTTAATGATTGTTATATTCATTATTTACATACGGATTCTTGATGTCAGTTCTTTGCTCCAAATTAATTATCCCTTGTTTTGTGGGTTCATAATATCTGATACTTTTCTTATCTTCAATGTGTCGTCTGTTGTATAACAACCGTTGTTTAGGGACTGGAATTCCTTTTGCTTTTAGAATCATTTTTTTAATGTCGAGTCCAGTTAAGTCCAGATTGTAAAACAAAACAATATTTTCAGTTGAACCCTTTTTCTGAACGTGCATTCTATTGATGTATCCATTTAATATTTTAATATTATATATAAATGTATCAAAAAGATGAGGGAGCAGTTTTTAATTATTAATAATTTTAACAATGTATTTACAAATCAGATATTCTCTCTATCATATTCATAAACATTCTCTGCCTTTAATTAACAATCTTTATAAGTTGATTAATCAAGTTATCTATAACTTATGTATATTATATTGCATACCATTACCACGTTTAATTATTGTCTCATCTAGAGTTATCAAAAATCCAGGATTGTACTGTATTATAATGTAAAAGCAAAATGTTTGCATGTTCAAGGAGGTTGACTATTCAAACATTTAAAATTACAGATACAATTTTAACCACAATTTAAATGCATTTCTACGCTACACTTCTCCTCCATTTATCTTTCTTTTTCTTCCACCCTACGTTATTTAATGCCTTTATATTTAACTGTTAATCAAATGGTATCTTTGTCAAATGTTATTTTGTAAATATTGTATAAATTTCAAAACATTGCAAATTTTTTTTCTATATTAGAGCTTATTTTTACCTGTATTAGTTAATATACAGAAAAATTTTAACCATATTCTATTTATAAAAACTGTTTTTTGTTGTCTCTCTTGATTATTCCTAATAAATAGTTTCTCTATGTGACATTAATAACTATTAATCTTGATTTGATCCCGGTAAATTATTGTGTTAGGTGCAAGTTTGCATACGATCAAATAATATAAATAAATAATTATAACTTTTCAAAGAGTATTCATACTTAACTCATAATATAATTACTTTATAAAAAATAATTAGTAATATTTTACACATTATCAAGTTAATACATATGAAATGTCTCGGGATAAAATTTTTCTGTGCATTGGTAATATATATTATTTTATAAATATTAATTATATTAAATATTAAACAAATATTTCAGTTATAGATTATAATATTCATTTTTTACATACTCCACCAAATCAATCCGGTCTGCTCTAACCATGTTATAATAGCTGATCTTTTTGACATCATCAAGGTATTGATTCTTGTAAATCAACGTTTGATCTTTGGCTGGTATTTCTCTGGGCTTTTGTTTGCCAAACTTGTTTGAAACTTGCTGGTAAATCTGTTTTTTAAGCATCAGTATAGTATTGTTGTTTTTCATAATCACAAAAGTAAGTGATTTGTCCGATGCGTAAATTTCGAGGCCTAGGCGATCACTAAAATGAGAAAATCAAATGTAAATCATTATAATTATATTATTGTTGTTTTAGCTGGTGACATTATATAACCCGAGTAATGTTAATACACGGTTACTTATTGAGTTTAATATTATAAATAAATAAATACGTTTAATTAAATGCTAGTAAATTTAGTAATTTTAAAATATTTATTTCAAAAACAAAATTCTAAAATTAGTCATAAAATCTTAAAAGTGGCTAAAACTAGAGATTGTTTGCCAAATAAAGCTGAAATTACTAATTAATATTCTGTAATAGTTTTGCGATTATAAAGTAGTAATAAATGTAGTAATAAAGATAGGTATTAATAATAAGAATAACGATACATACTATAGACCCAATTTGGGCTTAGCAGATATAGTCATATATTGGACACCAATTATGGCCACAATTAGCGCAGAGACATAAAATTTTAACTTATAGACAGTCATTATATTTGCTTTATTTAGCAGATGTTTTGTTTTTATTAATCACAGTAATTAATTATTATTTTAAAAATTAATTGACATATTTTCAAATAGAGAATGTTAGACACTTTTCTCCCATATTAAATATTTTCAAATAGAATATAAATTAATTTAATTTTTTGTATATTATTTTTATGAAAATCAAAATTTAAGATAATTTTAATTTATTATATAAAATTATATGTTAGTTTTTTAAATAACATTATAGTTGTTTATAATATAGAGTATTTAGAATATTCAGAGTGGAAGAGAAAGAGAGAGAGAGAGAGAGAGAGAGAGAGAGAGAGATTTATTCTGCTTATTTGTATTAAAAGTTTAGCATAAATTTCTGTATAATTTAAAATTAATATTAAATTATTTAATGTTGTTGTTAATTGTACGAATAATCCAATCAATTTTATCGGATATTCTAATGAAATACATGAATTGCTCATGGTTGTCTGGAATACATGTGCCATTATTAGTGCCACCGATTGCTATACCAATAAGTACTGCCACTCCGTTCACTGATTGGTATAGCGGACCACCAAAATGGACGCCCTGTTTGTGTCAATAGATATTAATTTTATAAATAAAACTAATTTATTAAAATATTTTTTAATAATGTATTAAAAAGAATTATTTATTAGTTTAAAGCGTATTCAAAATTTAGCTAAACTTACGTCGCAAATTGATCCACGTAATTGTTGACCAATAATAAGCAAACCACCCTGATCCTCTGCCACATCATTGCCCAGTTTATAAATCTTAACAAGGCCGGTTTTTAGTTTGAAATCAAGATTAGAATTTGGGTCGTATTGGTTGTACTCATAAGCATTTATAATTGCGTATTCATTGTCATCGTTGACACTGTCTTTGACGGGCAAACAAATGCTATTGAATTGACTCAAATCGGTTGAGTGATCCAAAATAACACCATGGGCTATTTTGATAAGTGCTACATCAGTGTTGCTCAATACCGACTCGGTGTGATTATAATCCGGGTGCAAATAATAGTCGACCATATGTTGAGATGTCATAGTATCATTGGTAGCATTAAGCTTGCCCAGATATAGTGTCACATTGGTCACCCTACACCCCAGTCCGCAGCTGATTATTTAAATAGAAATTACCATCATTTATTTAAGAATTTTATTTTAGGTTTAATATTTACTATAAATTATGGGCCGCCGTTAAAATCCATTAATTATTCAACACAACACCGCTTCCCATATAACTATCATAATAAGCAGAGTTTAATTAATTAAATTTAATTAATCATTTTAATACAAATTAATAATAAAAATATAATACGTGTTGCCCTGATGTTGGACTAATATAAGAGCATTCTAAGGAAAGTGACCATGGTCAAATGGCCATACGTTATGTAATTTACTTTTGAGTCCAGTTTCTTGTGATACTTAAAAAAAAAGTTTTGCCAAAAGTTGTTGCACTATATTTGTTAATTTTGTGATAAGATTTATTTATATACTAATTTCACGAATGCGATCAATTTATTCATACAATAAACCCCGATTTAGGCTGAAATTACCGCAACATTTCTATATATTGATATTTTTATTTTGTTTAACACATTCAAGTAATGCTTTCAAATTAATAAATAGTTGTAAAAATCATTACTGTATTCGGAATTGAAAACATCAAAGCTTCCAAACGATTTCACTACAAATTATCAATTACAATTAAATAAGATAATTTTATTTTGTATAGAACTAACAATACAATTATAAATCTAACATAATTTAAAATAAAAATTGCAATTCATGCTCAAGCTCAAATAAAAGATAAATGCTTTTAATAACAAAGTCAAATACTTAAATATTAACAGTAGATCAGTTGAATAATAATTTATTATAAAATAAATAAAATATTCATTTGTTATTAAGGTATTAATATCTAGGCGGCCAATATGTTTCTTCCAATGTAAATTTGCAATATCTCCCAAACGGGATGAGCTAGCTCAAATCTGTAAACGGTAAAATGATTTCCCATATATCAAATATTTTATCTGAAAAATTTATTCAAA